CATTAAAAAACTCATAAACTCCTCTTTTAACTCCTCCATTTTTAAGTGCTCTTACTGGATATGTTTGTTGAGGCAAAAGCTTCTTTCCTGGTAACACAGTAAATAATCTCACTAATTTAAAATTTAATGTTATGGCCAGGGTTCATCCAACAAGGTCAGTTCAACGCTTCCTGACACAATACACAGGCCACTGGGGTACGAATACTTCAGAACACAGCCATGCTTACTGGGCTGACGTTCTCATCATCTCCTCCACTGTTTCTTTCCAATACAGAGGAATGTCCACAGAGCAAGACCCTGATTTCCTACAAGTTTCACCTTTTGGTTTAGCATCTCAGAGTCAAAGCCCTTAGCACCATGGCCTTTGCAATTCATCATCGCATAGAAAACAAAACAAAACAAAAACCAGGACTATTTCCACGTCAAGAGGGTGCTAAGCAGCAGGGGAGCATGACCTGCCCGGTCTGATTCTGCATCCTTCCGATGTGTAAGCAGACCAAGGAAAGGCAAGCGAGGCCACAAACACAGGAGCTGGAAGCAAACCTGTGTCTCCAACTTCTGCAAGAAGAAAACAAAGAACCTGCCCACAAGTGCCTCCCAGAGCAGTTGGAGGAGGCTCTCGAGAATGTTTATAAAGAACGGGCAAGATCAAAGTCATCCTCAAAGAGCTAAATCTTACCATCAGCTGCAAAGCTTTGCTAAGTTTTTCCAGAAGCCGCAGAGTGAGGCACAGAGGGAAAGGATCATCAGACATGTATGTGCAGAGGAAGTGTCCAGCATTCATCACGCTATCAAAAGGTATTGAGGGCAGGGCCGAGCGCCGCGGTGGGTAGGACCTGCTGCAGGTCCCGACTTATCACACCTGACCAAGAAGGCAGCCAGCTGGGGCTCACCAGTGCCCTTGATCAGCTGGGAAGGAGCCCAGGAAAATCCTCCCTGACATCCATCCAGGCTCCACGGCACCAGCTTCGGGAAATCAGCAGTGAGACAACAGGTGAGCCCACCCGGGAGACAGAACCTCCTGGGCACCCCCAATCAGCTCACACTGCTGCTGAGAATGGAGCCTTCATAGACTTTATTTACAGCTCACTTTAAAAATGACTCGGCATACCGAAATTTAATTGGGCCAAACTGCTTACTTTGATAGTTTCATTCATTTAAATGATACCCATGGAAAGGGCAAACAATAAAATTTAGATAACAGGTATTCAGTATGGTGAGCACGGTGCTGGAAATATGGTAGTGAACACAGCAGAAGAATAAAATCTGTCCTCATGGGGCTTATATTCTCATTGGCGGAAGGAAACAGGCATTAGGGAGAAAAAGTAAATCGTATTTATTTAGTGGAGAAAAGTTTAAAGTGAAAAGCAAATAAGGAAAGCAGCGGAGAGTAGGAACACGCATTTTGAACAGGGGGGTTAAGGCAGGACTTCCTCAGAACCTGAAATCTGAGCTCAAGTTCACGTATCTCATGGGCATGCCAGAGTTTCTTCAGGCTGGTTATCCACATTACCCTTGCATTATACAAACGAATTCCAGGAAGATGACTAAGACGGTTACTTTAAAACAATGTGTTCAGTGAAAGAACAGTCTCCAAAAATAGTCTGGAGGCAACTGGTAACCACCTACAGTAGAATGAGTAGATGTCCCTTTCACTCTGCAGACAAAAATTAACTCCAAGTAGATCAACAACCGAAATGCAACAGCAAAAGACACAGCTGCAACTCTTCACGACCTTGGATTTGGCAATGCATTCCCAGATTTGACAATAAAATCATGAGTAAGAAAAGAAAATACAGGGAACCGATTCATAAAAATGAAGATGTGTACCTCAAATATCTCATCACTAATGTGAAGAGAACATGATCACAATTGCGAAAAAATAACCTACAGAATGAGAGGAAATATTTGCAAAGCCAGTATCTCAGGGATTTAATTCAGTAACAAAAAAACTAACAATTGAATGTGAAAACGGGCAAGGGACCTGAACAGACACTTCTGCAATGGAGCTATGTGAGCGGCCAATGGGCACATGAGAAGATGTTCGGTTCACAGAGCATTACGAGAACGTAAATCAAACCACAGCGTGGTACTTCTCCACACTCCCGAGGACGGCTTTAATAAAACAATGAAACATAGTAAGTATTGGTGAGGTGAGGGCACAGAGTTACTGGAACCTTTGTGCGGTGCTGTTGGGAATACAATATGGTACAGCCACTGTGCAAAATACGTAGTTTCTCAAATAGTTACAAATAGAATTATCATATGAAGCAATTTCACTCATAATCATATATATATATATACATACATAAATATACACCCCAAAGAAACAAAAGCATATGTCCACACAGAAACTTGCACACAAATGTAAATAGCACCATTATTTGTTATGGTCCAAAGGTAGAAAAAAGTTAAACGCCCATCAGTGGATGAATGGGTACACAGAAAGTAGTCTACAAATTGGAGTATTATTCACCTGTCAAAATGAATGAAGTATTGATGCACGTTACAATATTTGTGAACTACAAGAATATTATGCTAAGTGAAAGAAGATGGGCACAAAAAGTCACACATGATTCCTTTTATATCATCTAGGCAGAATTCACAAATCCATAGGGAAGAAAGAGATCAGAAGTGATTTTGTGGAGTGATAAAAAAGGTGTGAAATTAGAAAGAGTTCCTGACTGAGAACCCGTGAGGTACCACTAAATTGTAGATTTCAAAAGACTTAACCATACACTATGTCACTTTCAAATTAATTTTTAAAAAGGTGTTTCAATCACTCAAAATTTTACATCAAATTTTCATGATCACAGCATTTTGGTTTTGAATTCACTCCTGTACGCATTCCACACTGTAATGTAACTCAAATACTTTGACCACGTCTTACAGCTTTATCAAGGTACTGATGATAAGACAGAAGCCACCCATATTTAAGCAGATATTTGCTAAGTTTACATAACCCAGCAAGCACTACCACAATCACTTTTTTTTTTTTTTTGACAGGCAGAGTGGACAGTGAGAGAGAGACAGAGAGAAAGGTCTTCCTTTATCCGTTGGTTCACCCCCACAATGGCCACTGCTGCTGGTGCGCTGCGGCTGGCGCACCACGCTGATCTGAAGCCAGGAGCCAGGTGTTTCTCCTGGTCTCCCATGCGGGTACAGAGCCCAAGGACTTGGGCCATCCTCCACTGCCCTCCCAGACCACAACAGAGAGCTGGACAGGAAGAGGAGCAACCGGGACAGAATCCGGTGCCCCAACTGGGACTAGAACCCGGGGTGCCAGTGCCGCAGGTGGAGGATTAGCTTATTGAGCCGCGGCGCTGGCCTCACAATCACATTTTTTAAAAGCATGCAACACCACAAAACATTCTTTCAAGGCTCTTCACAGTCATGTCATTATTCTGCATTTTCTAGAATTTCACATGAATGCAATCAATCAGTATGAAGTCTTCCAAATTGGCTTCCTACACTTGTACAATGTGTTTGAAGCACATTTACATTTTTAAAGATTTACTTATTTATTTATTTGTTAATTATTTTAAAGGCAGAGAGAATAATCTTCCATCTACTGGTTTTCTCCTCAAATGTCCACAACATTTGGGGCTGAGCCAGGGTGCAGCCAGGAGCTTGCAACGCCATCCGTATCTCCAATATGGGATGGCAGAGATCTAAGTACTTGAACCATCATCTGCTATCTCCCAGAGTGCACATTAACAAGAAGCTGGATCAGAAGTGGAGTAGCTGTGATTCATACCAGGTACTTCAATATGGGATATGGGTGCCCAAGTAGCAACTTAATTGCTACACCACAACATCTATCCTATCTAAGTTGTTTTATATATCAGAAATTTCTTAATTAAATTTCTGAGTATTGTATCATGTTGAGTTTGTCCACGGACAAGCTGATGACATCAGATGACTTCTATTGACAGCTACTGGAAATAAAGCTACTATGAACATGGACATGGAGAAACCAGGCTTTAGTGTGGGCCTATTTCTTTCCAGAAGATACTGATACATAAAATAGCTTAATTTTACATTTAACTTTGAGAAACTGGCCAAATTTTCCAAAGTGGCTGCCCATTTTTTATTCCCAGCAGTAATGTACCTGCAATCGCTCTACATGGCTAACACTTGGTGTTAGCATCTTCTCAATGCTAGCCATTCTTGTAGGTGTGCAGCGGCACCTCACTGAGGATTTACCTTGAATTTCCGCAGTGACTGAGATGTTGAGCATCTTTTCATGTATTTACAGACTTCTGTGTAGTTTGCTTTTAAACATTCACTTTTTATTTACTTGAAAGGCAATGACACAGAGAGAGGAAGTGACAAAGATCTTCAGGGGGCTGCTGCATTCCCCAGATGCCCACAATGATAAAGGCTGGGCTGGGCGCAGCCTTGAATAAGGAACTCTATGTAGGTTTCCCATTTGGTGACAGGGATCTAAGTACTTGGCCATGACATGGTATTTTCCAGGTACATTAGCAGAGAGCTGAGTCAGAAACAGAGTAGCCAAACTCAAACCAGCGCTCAAATATACGATGCTGAAGTCTTAAGTGCTGGCTTAGCCTTGCACCACAGCAGGAGCCCCACTGTGTATCTTCTTTCAGGTAGAGTCTTATCATATTTTAAGTATTTATAGCATATATTATTTATCACTATTTCATTCATCATGGCATTACATCAAACCAGTTATTTAAAAAAAAAAAAATGAGCAACCACACCACAAAATAAACTTATTTGCAAAACTTCAGATCTAACTTCTTCACGATTGGTAGAAAAAGTCAAAGACATATAATTAACGTGACCATTTTCTATTAATTCTGCTGAAGTCCTTAAAATATCTATAATCTACAAAGAAAACTTCAAACACAAAGTCCCATGGATAAGACATAAATTCAATGTTGATAAAGATTCCCTGTGGGAAAAAGCAAGTGTTAGTAGCCTTAGAACATCCATCTTCAAACACAGAGTTCACTGGATTTTTGAAAGATTACCTTGAAGGCTGCTAAGCAGTGCAGAGTCAGCAAGGCCATCACCACGGCCAGCAGAAGGGTGGCTAAGTTCCGCAAGTCCCAGACGCTCTCCACCAGGGGAATACTGCCCACTTGCCAGTCATAGCACAGGGTAACAGGTGCGAGCAGAAGCCACACGTTGAAGGCCAAGAGGTAGGAATAAGTAAGGAATCTACAAAGACAAGAAGCATCACTGAAGCACAATTCAACATTCATGACCTTTGCCAATATTAACCCCTCATGTTCTATTAAATAGCATCTTCACACTGTCACTGTTGCCTTAAAGGAGAAGGCAAAGTAGAAAGCCATTATCTTATTTATTCATTAAACTGATCATCTGGGGATATATTTATCTAATAGTTGCTAGCCTCTGGATTATGTGCTGACTGTACAATGATAAAAATTATCTATCTATCTATTTATCTCCCTCCCTCCCTCCCTCCATTAACAATCTACTACAACCTGAGATAGATGCTATGAGGAAAAAGTGGGCTGAATGTGTATGACGGATAGTTTGTGTGTGTTGTGATTCTCTAGGTTAGGATTTTTTGAACTGTGCCTTCTCAACAGTACCCCAAATCCTGCAGATATGACACTATTTCAACATTTTTATAACATTCTGAATCATATTACATTTTTCTCAAAAAAAAAAAAAAAAACAACAACAACGCAAGTATGTGGAGTCAGAGGTCCCTTACTCACAAGGGAGGAGCCAGCCTCTAGGAGGAAGGGCAAGCACCTGTCCTTGTTGACCAGTGCATCCATGTGGGCACAGGGGAGAAGGCCGATGGACACAGCTGTGGGTCCTGCTTTCTGCCTGAGACTCCAAGGTAAAGCAGGAGTCACTACAGGTGACCCTTCTGCCCGTGCGTGGAGGAAACTCACTTTATTTAACTTCGTTCAGTCAATAGAGTCATTAAGCAGCGTTCTGGACCCTTGGCAACTGCAGGACTCATAGACACAACAACTTGGTTGAGATGAGACCTCTGTGCCAGGACATGACCAACTGTAGCAGGCCTCGTTCAACTCTTGCAAGATGACCCAACCCTTCATTACTTATTTAAATTTTTTTTAATTTATTTTTTAAAGAATACAAATTTCTTAAGTACAACTTTAGGAATAGTGATTCTTCCCACCATACCCGCCCTCCCACCCACACTCCCACCCCTCCTCCTCCTCTCTCTCTCCTTGTCAGTCCCATTCTCCATTAAGATTCATTTTCAACTAACTTTGTACACAGAAGACCAACCCTATACTAAGTAAAAAGTTCAACAACAACAAACAAAAAACTGTTTGAGAACTAGTTTTACAATTAACTCTCAATACAACTCATTGAGGACAAAGGTCCTGCCTGGGGAGTCAGTCAGTGCACAGTGACTCCTGTTGTTAATTTAACAATTAACACTCTTAGGTATGATGTCAGTGACCACCTGAGGCTCTTGACATGAGCTGCCTAGGCTTTGAGTCCACAAACTCTATCAATATTTGGACAGGGCCATAAGCAAAGTGGAAGTTCTCTCCTCCCTTCAGAGAGAAGTACCTCCTTCTTTGATGGCCTCTTCTTTCCACTGGGGTCTCACTCACAGAGCTCCTTTACACAGAACCTTTTCTGCCACAGTGTCTTGGCTTTTCATGCCTGAAATGCTCTCACAGGCCTTTCAGGCAGACCAGGAAGCCTTAAGGGCTGATTGTGAGATCAGAGTGCTGTTTAGGGCATTTTTCATTCTATGAATCTGCTGTGTGGACTGTTTCCCAAGTTGGAACATTCTCTCCTTTTTAATTCTATCCATTATTATTGCTGAGCACTTGATCCTATTTATGATCTCTTTAACACTTAAAAGCATATAGTTCTGCATACATTCCTTACTTCTAAGGGTACAATTTACAAACTTGTCATGGTAGGAGCCAGTGCTGTGGCATAGAGAATAAAGCCACCACCTGCAGTGTCACCGTCCCATATGGGTGCTGGTTCGAGACCCTGCTGCTCCACTTCCAATCCAGCTCTCCCTTGTAGCCTGGGAAAGCAGTGGAAGACAGCCCAATTCCTTGGGCTCCTGCACCCTCGTGGGATACCCAGAGGAGGCTCGTGGCTCTTGGCTTCAAATCAGCACAGCTCCGGTCACTGCAGCCAACTGGGGAGTGAACCAGCGGATGGAAGACCTCTCTCTCTCTCTCTCTTCTCTCTCTCTCTCTCTGCCTCTCTTTCTCTCTTTTTGTAACTCTGGCTTTCAAATAAATAAATAAATCTTAAAAAAAAAAAAAAAGGAGCATAGTGTCCCAGGTCTGGGTGGAGAAAAAAAATCATTAAAAAATTCTATGCAACTTCCAAATCAATAAAAAAAATGTTAAAAAAAAAAAAAAAAAACCTTGTCATGGGACTCTAAATCCCATTAAAACTGTGGTAAAAATGCCATCCTAATTGTTAAGTGATCACATTAAAGTGCACATATAGACAGGATCCAACCCTAATGTGAATGGTGCAGCTCTAGCAAATTCGACCCAACTGTAACAGAGATGACTCAATTGTGGCACGGATGACCCAACCCTTCCATGGCTTCTAACAGGACCCCAGTCCCCACAAACATGCCTGCCTTGTATATTTCAATGTCACTGAAACAATTTATTCTTTGTTTTAAAATACCTTTCTCAGACCAGATACGAAGAAGTGCTTAGGGTTGTGAAATCTCGTTTCTAAATTTCAGGAAACGAAGCCATTTCTTGGAGAGTTCATCGTCAGTAAGGACAGAGCCTCCAACCCCAGGCTCGTGGAAGCTGAGAATGCTGACTGTGAGCTGTCAGCAGCAGACACACCGTGAGCTCAGTGGAACCGACCTTGACCCTTGATCCTGACGCTACAGGGCCCCCATCCGACCTCCTCCGTCATTCTCCCTCTAAAAAGCCCAGTCACCTCTACATGAACCAAAACTGAGTTCACCCTTTCTCCTACTCTCAGAAGTTATGGAGTAAAATCCGTTTCCACCACTTTAACTAAAGTCTGTGTGTGACATGTTTACGGGATCAAACAGAAGCACTGATACATTCCTTGCCCTATCTACAGTAAAAACAGAACACGCAGACTGCAGAAGGCGGTGTGAGACAGAGGCCCGCTGTAAGAATGGAGACTGTGAAGAGAGGCCCTTGCCCATTTGTCAGAATCTTCTGGAGGGATTCTGGATTGGCAAAGACGCCCTATCGCCTATGTCAAGGTCCCTTCCAGTGTTGAGTCCACTGACTTTGAATTCCTGCCAACAATGGCTACTGGTTGAGCACAGTCCCTAGACCCTCCCCGCTTGACCGCTATCCTCCGTCCCCCCAACCCCGAAGGTTGGCAATGGAAAATCCTGGAGAGATTAATGAGGGGGATTATTCACTGCCATTACTCTCAAATGGGTTGAAGGGGTGGGGATACCTCCCTCCCTGTTGTCATTTTAGCGGAAGGGTTAAGTACAAAGAGCAGACGATACAACAAAAGCGTCACAAAGTCCACGCTTCATGACTGTGGTTCTAGAGATCCACAACCCTGCTACCCTCTAATCTCCTTCAGGTTCAATGTTCTCTTTCCTTCACCCCAAAACGCGTCCTCGTTATTCTGACTGGCAGCGGGGGCGGGACTGAGCTCTCCAGAACACTGCCTTCCTGCTCAGCAAAGACGCCAGCTTGGCATTACAAGTGAACCTTAGCAGCGAGATCGGGCAGCTGTGGATTTCAGTCGCCCTCTAGCTCTGACAAGTTACTTTCAGAAATTTCGTTCCTGAATAGCAGATCCGGACAGTTCATCAATGGCTATAAAACTACCAGGTAAACACCTGATGAGGTATTAGCATTTTTAATTTATTTTCTTAACTGATACAACAAATTGTACATATTTATGAGAAACCACGGGATGCTTCCATAAAGGTATACCTCATGTATTGTGCAAATCAAGGTAAGGGTATTTATGACATCAAATACCTACCACTTCCTGTGGTGAAATATTTTTTTTTAAATTTTTTGACAGGCAGAGTGGACAGTGAGAGAGAGAGACAGAGAGAAAGGTCTTCCTTTGCCATTGGTTCACCGTCCAATGGCTGCCACAGCCGGTGCGCTGCGGCCGGCACACCACGCTGATCCGAAGGCAGGAGCCAGGTGCTTCTCCTGGTCTCCCATGGGGTGCAGGGCCCAAGCACTTGGACCATCCTCCACTGCACTCCCTGGCCACAGCAGAGAGCTGGCCTGGAAGAGGGGCAACCGGGACAGAATCCGGCGCCCCGACCGGGACTAGAACCCGGTGTGCCGGCGCCGCAAGGTGGAGGATTAGTCTAGTGAGCCACGGCCCCGGCCTGTGGTGAAATATTTAATATCCTGGCTTCTAGGATTTTAGAAAATATAGTACATTGTTACTACCTATAGTCATCCTCTTGTGCAACGGAACACTAGAACTTACTCCTCCTAGTAATTCTAACCTAGTACCAGTGACTCACTTTTCCTCATTCCTCCTTCTGCTCCCTTGTCTCCCCAGCCTCTGGTAACCACCCTTCTACTCTCAAGTTCTATGAGATCAATCATCTTAGATTCCACATATGAGTGAGGTCATGTGGTACTTGATACTCTGTGGCTGGCGTATTTAATATAACCTCCAGTTCCATTCATGTTTCAGAAACGATAAGATTTCCTCCTCCTCCTCCTTTATGAAAGGTTGATGGACATTTAGGTTGAGTCCATTTCTTAGGTTGAGTCCATTTCTTAGGTTGATTCTATTTCTTGCTTGCATACTATGAACAGTGTTAAAATCAACTCAAGAGCGCCAGCGCCGCAGCTCACTAGGCTAATCCTCCACCTTGCAGCGCCGGCACATCAGGTTCTAGTCCCGGTCGGGGCGCCGGATTCTGTCCCGGTTGCCCCTCTTCCAGGCCAGCTCTCTGCTGTGGCCAGGGAGTGCAGTGGAGGATGGCCCAAGTGCTTGGGCCCTGCACCCCATGGGAGACCAGGAGAAGCACCTGGCTCCTACCATCGGATCAGCGCGGTGCGCTGGCCGCAGAGCGCCAGCCGCGGCGGCCATTGGAGGGTGAACCAACGGCAAAGGAAGACCTTTCTCTCTCTCTGTCTCACTGTCCACTCTGCCTGTCAAAAAAAAAAATAAAAAAAAAAAAAATCAACTCAAGAGTACAGATTTTTTTTTTTTTGAGAGACTGA